AGAGAGCTCAGCATGGGAACAAAAAACCTATCTCTGAAGTCTTTCTGTGAAACAAATTGAACATCGTTTTCCTCATAACAACAGCGGAAAACAGAAATAATTTTGAAGGGTAAAGAGTCTCTCAAAAAATTTGCAGGTAGCTTCTGCTTTCTAATACTACAGACTGTGTTAAACAAGTCTCTTAAATGCATAGACTTCCTAAAAATACATGTTCACTATAGGTGAGGCGCATCAAGTCCAGCTGATTGACCCCTCTACAGGCCATGGAAAAGGCAGTATGGAGACTCAATCTACACAGGAAATCAAGTGGTCAAAAAAAGTTACATTGCAACATGAGAGCCGTGTTTTAAGAACTACCCATTTCTTGAATGCAGCTGTATTCACTATTGCTCCACAAAATAATATGGGCCAAATGAAATACTATTTTTTACAGATCAGATGAGATATGATGCAAAGACAACGGGGAGGGGGAAAAGAAGCAGGAAGGTCCTGCAAAAGAAAGCAAACCAACCCTCTACTTAAAGAAAGTACAAGAAACAGGTCTGCAAAAGCAGTCGATCAAGACTTTCAACTAAGACGACTTTGGAGGAAGAGATTTTACCTCCAGGCACAGGTTAGCCGTGTGTAAATCCTAACCCTTGTTTTAAACAAAGTGACCTCAAATTACCCGTAACTGCTAGAAGAACTTTGTACTAGAAGAGAACCTTGGTGGTAATTTTGCAATAAGCAAGATACAGCATTTGGAAGAGAGAGCTTTCCAGTAACAGGATGATTTCACTTTGAAAAACTTCCTAATTGTGGAAGAATCAGCTCTCCAAAGCAGCCCAGGCTGGAAATCCTAAACTTGCTTCAGTTGAACTTGGCATGGACCTTTAACTAGTTTGTTGGCAAAATTATTTAAATAAAGGTTTGTTCTCTATCTTTTGTTTTTCCAAAGGTACAAAATTTTGTCAAGTAAAAACATAGCCTGACCCCCCCACCCCCCGAGAGTATAAACTAAATTGAACTTAGAAATAAATTTGCAAGAAGGAAGACATGCTGTTGTAAGAACACGTTTCCTCAATGACCACAGACCCAGCACAAGCACAGAGTACTGCTACGTTGCAGCCGAGACCCCGACTGCTCTGGACCCAGAAGTAACAGAGCATCAGCAGCGTGCCAAATCCAAGCTGACAAGCTCTGCTGGGCAGCAGAGTCCTCTTCCACACCTGCATGAGTGTCTCTGCATGGTGTTACCTTCGCTGCAGATGCACCAGCACAGCTGAGATTACCTCAGATGTTTCCACCATGCTCCCCTGCAGAGGCGCAAATGTATTTTCTGCTGCTTTTCCATCATGCTAATCTGGTACTCACAACCTCTTATTTTCCTGCAGACCCTTTTAGAAATTAATTTTTAGGCAGGATTTGAATGTTGAGGGGACTTTATAAGCTGGATAAGAACAATGTCTGTATCAAGGCTTTCAGCTAGGAACAATAAGGGAGAACAATTGTAACAAAGTTAAGCGAGGCAGCAGTGGACATGGATTGAGAGCAAAAGATGCAAAGTGACAGGAACAAGAGGGACCTCAGAACAATAAAGAAGGATGAACAGATGCCCACCTCAAATGTACAAATGAAAACACGCGGCAGCCTGGGGAACAAGCAGGAGGAACTAAAGCTCCTCGTGCTGTTACTACAGCACTGTTGGAATAACAGATACGGTGGGAGAGCTCGCATGTGGTGGGAGCGCTGTGATGGATGGATACAAGCTTCTCAGGAAAGACAGGGAAGGAAGAAGCGAAGGTTGGGGGGGCTCTTTACATGAAGGAGCGGCTTGAACATTTGTGATGGATGGCAGTTAACAGTGACAAGCACATAGCAGTGTATTACAGACCAGCTCATCAGGGTGACGAGGACAGTCAAGCACTGGAACAGGTTGTCCAGAGAGGTTGGTGCAGTCTCCATCCTTGGAGATTTTCAGGGCCTCACTAGTTAAAGCCCTGAGGAACCTGGTCTAATCTCACAGCTGATCCCGCTTGAGGAGAAGGCTGAATTAGGTCCAGAGGTCTCTCCCAACCTGAGTTTTACTATGATCCAAAGTCTAAAGGATAGAATCCCAGGCAGGAACTGTAGTTTTGAAATTGAGGCAGAGGAATAGAACATCTGCTACCAGTCAAGAAGTCTGTTTTGCGACTGTGTCTTAGCCATGAGCATCACACAGAGATGCTCACCCAGCAGCTAACTGTAGACCAAGGCTGCAGATTCCCAGGAAACTACGGAGGAATGATGGAGCAGTGGCAGTCGTAGCAGAACCCACTCCTGCAACTGTTGAGAGCGTCAAACATTTAGGGGGGGGGGAAAAAAAAATCCCTGGCAACAAATGTTAACTTGAAGTTTATGTCCCAAAGAGCATTTTCTCAGGGCAAGGAACTTTTAAATGTTTTCAGTTTCCCTAACCAGTTAAGAGCCAGGGAATGTGAGACTGCACATACTTTTTAGTATTCCCAGCGAGGGGAAGGGGCAAAAATGTGTTTAACGCACTGATGTTCCTTACACGTGGCCTCCCCAACAGCCCTACCCCACAATATAGCATCAGTGCCAAGTTTGAGAAGTAACTAAAACTTACCGCCTCATTCTCACCAAGACATTGTTTACATGTTTTTGGACCATATGAACAAGCTCTCAAATCCAGACTATCACCATAGTCCTTTCTTGACAAATATCCAACCCTTGTTTTTACTGACAGAACCATATTGATTGTTTCTAACCATCTTCAATGTGATAAGGCTGCTGCCCTCAGGAAATTATAATCACACCATCTCTCTTGATTTGCTAAATACACTCCCTCAAATCTTGGTCCTCCTCTTCTCGGTCTGGTTCTCTTCCTACAGATGGCTTCAGTTCCACCAGTGTCCACCAGCTCTTCTCCCAGTCACAGCTCATGCTCTAGGGAAGCTTACAGTCAGTCCTCCACCCCCAGCTAGCAGTCTCCTCTACGAAAGCTGCCAGTCGGGCTTATTTACATCATCAGTGATAGCTGCTCCTTGAAATCTCTAGCCTTCACTCAGCAGCTGGCCTCCAGCTCCCTGGACTTGCAGACATCTGAAATAATCACCTGTGCATTTCCATTGCTACAACACTGCTTTTGGTTTCTTTCTTTTCTTTTCAGAAATTGGCCTGCAGCCATGACAAGGGTTCAGAACTATTCCCAAAAGGGACAGGCAGTCTAAACAGAAAAGTGATGCTGAAAGGCGCTGCGTGTACAGTAACTATGTTCTGCCCTGCCTTTTAAGGAATACTAAGCAGCTTGAATGCCTATTCACATTTACAAATGAAGCATATACTTCAGCGTGGCTCAACTGTATAACCAAATTACAAAGTTCATTGGTATTTGACTACAAGTGTCCTATCTATGTGTCAAAATTCTTACAAAATCTTTCCTATGTATGTCAGAGTGAACCACTCTGAATATAATGCAAGTAGGTATACGCTGCCACAGTTCTGCTGTATGCTTCTGTCCCTGATAAGCCATTTTCTTATTACTGCACTGCAGTATTACCCATTTTGTTTAGCTGGAAAAAAGAAAGCTCACAAGTACTCAAGTACTGCCCTAATCTTCAAAAAGCTTCAAAGTCTATTGCTGGGGAAACAGCAGAAAATGTACCTATAGGTTCTGTAAAGATTAAGGTAGCAACAGACTCCTTACAGCATCAGTGCCAAGCTTGCTATCAAAGGCTTTGGGTTAGCACCAATAAGAAGTTACAGTAAACTTCATACCAGCCTCCAAAAAGAAGTTCACACCCTGGCACCAGGATTTAGGTAGAAAACTAAGTCTGAAATTCAAGGCTCAATCTTGAAGAAGTTAGTATGAGAATTAATTCCCGTGACCAAGATGATGACTATGTGAGTCATGACTCGAGAAAACATTCATGAATCAGAAATGGACACATATAAATATTATTTTAAACTGCAAATAAACTAATATGGAATTGATCTGTAAGACGGTCTTCCTGCCACTCAAGGTCTAACCCTTTAGTCTGCCAACTGCTGGAAAGTACTTTTCTTTGCCCAGTTTTCACAAGCACTTTGGAAGTATCCATTACTGCCCACACTATTTCCAAAAAATAATACCTCAGGGAAAAGAGAAAACACATGTTTTAACTGTTCAGACTACACCATTAGAAAAAAGTCTACACAAAATCATATACCACTGCAACATTAAAGAACCTAAAAATACTGAAATGAAACAGTAATCATAAACATCAATACTGCATCTGTATGATAATCTCTGAGTTACAGTAATTTCTTGTACAGAATTTGTGTTAAGAATAAAGACAACAGTCTGTAGATTTGTTATCATGGTGGCCATTTAGTTCTAATGCACGAGTTGCCCTCAAACTGGACAGGTAGAATACTCACAAATGTACCTGGGGGCAGGGGGAAAAAAAAAAAAAAAAAAAAATCTATCTGCCTGCCCTCCATTTCCCTTTCTGACTTCCGTCCCTCCCCTCTCCCCCTTCCTCTGAAAACACTCTCTCTTTTGTGGCAGATGGACAGAGAACTCAGTGCTTTAAGTCAGTGAGAAGCATTGACTCTTGCTGGCCCAACTGATCTGGAAGGGGGACAGTCACCGTTCTGCTGAATATCTGAAAAACAAGGCAAGACTGGGAACAGGACTCCAGCATGATGTATGATTCTCTATGGATCTCTGCAAGGGACAGATCCCTCTGCAAAGGATAGCGAGTGGAAGGCTTTGTGTCGCCTAGTAGGCAGCAACTTTGAGGAGAGTGAGGAGGCAAGAAGGGCATGCAAAAGCCCCTGCCTGAACCTGAAATACAGGTTTAAAGTGAAGTTGAAGGCAAAATGAGAAACATGAGTGTATATACAAGTGGGGTGGGAACCAGTCCTATGGGTACAGAAAACAAAAGAGAGTTGACTGAACAAATTTGAGATCAGGTGGTAAACACAAGAGGAAAACAATTCTTCCAACACAAAACAGTTGCACTACCCTTGGAGAGCAATGCTTTATGAACTTGCAAACCCTACTATCTAATTCCATTCTCTTTATTTTGTCTTGGCACCATCTACATGAATGGAAAACAATTGCAAAAATCGATACATGCACTTTGGTTTTACTGGCTTCCAGAACATGACTGGAATGAAAGCAATGGTTGTAACATTCAACTTCTTTTTAACTGTAGTTTCACTGAAAGGTGTTTGTTTCTTGAGTCTTTACTTAGCGTATAATTTGTATGTTAGTCAACAGAATTCCCAAAGACTTTTTCCCATGCTCCTCCTGTCAGTCTGTTTCATTGTTGGTTTTTGTTAAAGAGTGCCCAACTGAAGGCTACTTCCAAAATGTATCTGTAAAACTTGCATTTGAATGCTTTTCATTCATAAAACAGATGGAAAAGTGAGGAGTAAGGAGGAGAAAAATGTACAGAAAGAAAGCAGACCTGTACAAAAAAGCATCACAATGGAAAACAGAGGTCATTTGACTCTCCATTTCACCACGCTAGAAACATTAAAAGTAATGTTCTTCGGACTGTGTGTCACATTCAATTCCTAAAACAGAATATCAGCTACTGTGTTTCTGTGCTGAAAGTCACTTTCCCACTGCTTTTTGTAGACTGTTTGCATTATTTAACTTTAAAGAGTCCAAGAGGCTTCTGATTGTTTCACTTCCTATTCCTTTCATCCTATTCTTCATCTTGCTGGGATTACTTTTTCCAAATGGTATCAATAGGGCTGCCAGTCCCCAAGGCTCTTTATTGATCATTCGCTGAGTTTTACCTTCCTTCTGTAAAATCCAGGCACTTTCTCTGGCCATAGCTACAAATTTCTCCAGCTGTGGCTGATTAACATTCTTGCTGATATTAAGGTCTTGTTCAAAGGGATTCCAGATATAAAGAGGAGACGACTCAGGTTTATTTACTTCCTTTCCCTGCAGACAGCGTAAAGAAAAAGCCAAAGTTGCATATATGTAATTTTAGGCTGAGCAAGTAACAAATCACTTGAGTTATCACATTAGCATTAAAAGTATTTTGACCTAGTAGAGAACTTTTTGCAAAAAAAAACCAAAACCAGTCATTATTAATCAAGTTAATTTTCCTGTCAGCCTGACTGTATGACTCCTGTTCTATGAATCCTCTTAGTGGTGATTTTCCTGGCCACATTCAGCTTAGATTTCCATCAAGGCAAAGAAAACACATCTACAGCTTAGCCTGTCTTTTTGACCACTCTCCCATTTGCTTTTCCACAAACCTCAGACCTCACTCATTGCTACCTCCTGCTCCTATCTCCATTTGTGTATGGGCAGCATGAGTGTGTCATATTAACCTGAATAGCCCAGTCTGATAAACTACTACAAGCACTTAAACTGTTCAAACCATTCCTCTCACAGTGCTCATTAAGAGTTAGTGTAACAAAACAAGATTACTGCCTTGGCTGAAATTCCTCCCAGTTCAGTCTGTCTTTTAAGTACAGAACTATTCTGGTCATGGTCCACTTTTGGGCACTTGGTATAGTACAACGCAAGTTGTTGACAACTATGTAGTTTGCTATTTAAATACACTTCCATCTCAGTGCTTATCAGTGCTCCTTAGCTGACCTGCTTGGTATTACAGAACCTCTGCAAGTCTTCCACTGCAAGCTCTAGCCAGAGCCTACCAGCTAATGCTAGTCCAGGAAGTGTCTGTGTCCATGCTACATACTCTTGCCCCAGGGCCAAAAGGACTGACTAGTTAAACAGAAAAACATCAGCAGCACAGACATTTCCCCTGACTAGCTCAGGCTCCAACATGTGTAAGTTTTTGCTTGCCTTTTTTAAGGCTTAATGGCAAACAAAAGTTCTCCAGCTTAATGAATTAGTTTCCAGGATCAACCTGCAGTGGCCAAAAGAGCTCTTATGCCAGTAATCCACAATACCGAAGTAGGAAACAGAACACAAACAAGAGTGTCCACACAGCAACATGGCACTGAAACCGCCATCCTGTAAGCAGCCCAGCAGGAACACGTGTGAGTTAAGGTAGTTACATTTATATATATCACTATTATACTTGCACACACACACACACACACGTTTCAATAACTACCATGACTTAAACATATAAAGTAAACCAAAGTGATAGTGCAGACCTCTTAGCAAGCACTGAATGATCATCTTATCTGTCATGCTTACTGAAATGTAAGTACGCCTACTGTAGGCTGATACAAACTGCAGTAGGAAACTCAAGTGCCACAATCAAGTTTCAGAACTCAGTTGTAAGTTTTAATGCACACACTGTTTGGGTCTGGACTCCCAACTTTAAATGCAAAGCCTGTTGGTGTACAGGGTTTGTCACAGACTTTTGCTATGACATACATCACGACATTTTAAAAGTTTTCCTCTCACAGAAGCAAAATAGCTTCTACTTTTTAAAACTGCCACTTTTATTACAGGGTTTTCAAGAAAAATCATACAGGCTTAGCATCAGAGTTTGTGCTTTCCAACGTCTTCAAGTAATGACACTGTAAATGTTCTTAATGGTGCTGTAAGTGATTAGGCTCCGAGAGGAAAACTCTCTTCCTTCACAGAAAGGACTCAGTTTCTGGATACAACCAATTTAAATGTACTTTGTATATACAGTTAAAAATGACAGAAATTGTTGCTCAGCATATGTAGTTTGTCAAACGGCAGACAGAGAAATTCAATTGATAATGATGAGAGATTAAAATTCATTTACCTTTCGAAGATTTATGGAATTCTTTCTGAAATCAAAGTTTCCAAAATATTCAAAAAAGTCACCCAACAATACATCTAAGGGAAAGAAAAACAATAGCCATCAGTAACATTAAGGAAAAGTTTATTTTCGAATGCTCATAAAAACAAACAAAAAAAAAGTTGATGAAGATTTACCTACCAAGTGTTTCTGTATTTTTTGTAGGTTTAATCTTGCTTAAATCACTAACAAATGAGCAATCATATCCTCCAATTACTTGCTTGTCTTTTTCATCTGAAACAAAAATCGCAGGCATATTTTGAAGTGATAAACAGTAAAATGCCATTGTATTTAATAAAATTCAGATAACAGACATGACTAAACTCAATGAATGCTATCATATTAAGTAAATCAAATTAGGAGTTCCCAAGTGAACTTTCAGGTTAAGATTCAACTTCAGTGGTTAAAGATTTAAAAGAAAAAAAGTCTATGGACAGGCAAAGGAAACGAAGCATGAGTAAATGGCGTATTTTCAAAAGCCTACAGGAATAAGGTATATGACATCTTTGTATCTCTGAAGTTACTTCTTTTAAGTAACAAACCTGATATCTCTGCATACAGAGCTTTATTATAGACTAAACAGGACAAATCTCTGAGGTTAATACCTGTATGAGGGTTTAAAAAAAAAAATCAGACCCAAAGTGTCCACTGTCTTTTTCTGAAAAACTTAAGCAAATTAGGAATATTTGTGTAAAATTTCAGGACAGGTGTTTTGTTTTATGTATAAAAATTCTGTAGAATTCTGATGGAAATGTTTGAACTGATTTTAAAGCAACTGAACACAGACCTTTTTCTCCACTCAAAGCACTCAAAGCTTCCAAGGAAGCACGTCAATAAGCAGAACGCATGAGTGAAGAATCAAGAACTTGGGGTGTCATTCCCTATGCTTTCATTAGAATTACTGAAGATAATACACCCTAAAAGCTATGTATGAAACAGCCAGAACAGCTTGTTTGCAAAGATATGAGAAATATTTGCAGATGGCCTGAACAGTCTCAAGGATATTACAAGTTGTGAGGAAAAAATATAGCCTTTCTTTTAAACATTTGGTATCTATAAAACAATACACATCATATCAATCTGCACAAAATCCTTAACAACTGCAGAGACATTTGAGACCCTACAAGTCTTCTAAAAAACAAAATAAACAAAAAACAGCCAGCATGGGAGCACTGAGCAAATAAATGACTTTTAATTATCTGAGGCATGGAACAAGCCTAACCCCTCTAAGTAGAATTTAGTATTGTATTGAAAATTGATTTATTTTGCCTTTAAAAATGCACTATTTTCACAAAAAAATACAAGTAAAACTTGTATATTCCCTCAAACTTAAGGCATACATAAGATGCATTAGTATTTGACAGCATAAAGAAGTTGCTTGGGTTTATTCATCACTTTAGAGAAAACAAATGTGAAAGTCACTTCAATAAACACATAAACAGCTGTCCTTACCTGCCAGTTCTTTAAGTTGGTCTAGTGTTGGAATGATAGGTGGTGATCTCTTTTGCAGAAAAAACATGATCATCATGGTTAGAGAGAAGTTTGTAATCCAGGTACCAGGAACACTATTTGTAAGTCCATGAACACGCGCCCAACATCGTACACTGAACACTAGTGCTCTTACACGGGAATCAAGACAGCCGTAGATATACAAGAGTTCTGAACTTTTTTTAGCAATGCTGAAGAAGAAATGAAAAGTAAGAGACATGTAAATAATGAGAGAATTGTGAAGTACCAGATGAAGTGTTTGTTGTTCAGCCCTAGAGCATCAGTTATAAGGAAAGAGGGTATTCATAAAAACAACACAACTTTTATGCATTTAAAAAAATAGAAGAGAATGTCTGAAATTGTCCAGGATTAAATAGTTGGTAGTTTTCCATAGTAAGAAGTATACAGTTATGGGTAAATAATAATACTGCATTTGCGCTGTTTCCTGTTTCTGTTCCACATCACAGGGGGGAAAAAAAACCAAAACCAAAAAACCACCATCAAGTACTCAGAAGTGAAACTATGCAGAATCAAGGCGAAAAACATCATTTAGCCACAATTGCCTCTGAGGTATATTAGATAATATTCTCTATCCTAATAGATAATAAAATACAACTAGAACTTCTTTTACAACTTTAACCTAAAAAGTAATAAAATAACGCACTGAAAAACACATGAAGTGCAGAGACACAACGGAATCTGCAAAACAAGACAATTTGGTAATTTTCCAATGACTAATGTTTGGTTCTGCTGAAAAAAACAACTAATCTGGAAGGATAAAGGTTTTCAGATGGATCAGTTTTTGATCTGCTTCATCATATGGTTGTACAAACATTCATGTAGTGTACAAATGGGAGGGCAAGAAAAAGCAGAAGAAAAACGGAAGCACAATGTGAGAGCAAAACTTACTTTGGGGTCAGTTTTAGTCTAAAGTGCTTGTTGAACTACAGTTGCAGGAGTTTTTACTCCCAATCTTGCACTGAATTCTTCTAAAAACCCACCATGGCATTTTGGGGAAGTTTACCACATCAAAGTTTTGTAACACCTAGACTTCTAAAATGTCAACTGTGAAGTGCTTCCTGGTGTCCCCAGAGGTTTGTTGTTACTCCAAATGGACAACGCACACAGTCCCAACCAGCCAAACCATCAGCAGAGAATTACATGCATGCATTACAGCAGAGAACTAACTGCATGCTGACTTTCACTGTGGCTGCATACATTAAAGTAATTTTATTGTAAGACGTTTGCTCAGTACTGCCTTAACGATTCCTGCATATTCTGAAACAGAACTTCAGGTAATTCAGAAAATTCAGTCTAGGATCTGATTTTATCTGATGTAGATGAACCACAAAATCTGCACTAAAAGCTGTATCAAAAGTATTCTGAAAGATAATCACTCATATTTTAGCATTCCCTAACAACAATGAAAAGGGTTAGTAACTCATTTTCGATTATGTACCCTTATGCCAGGGCTATGGATGTATACTGGATTAAGGTGGGTATTTCTTAATAAAATAAGCGACAGCAGAACAAATTATATGCTTTACTATCAACCAAATGAGAGCAAGCTGGAAGAGGAAAAACAGATGCAAAGAGAGGTATTTCTAAGAAGCCTGCTCCCTCTATTGGGCACTGCTGTGATGGGTCCTCAATGACTCTAACACTTCAGACTCTGTTTTCTGATGCAGTGAGTTAATTTAGCATTCAAGATACCTTCCCAGCAAACAGGTGTATGCAGGCCCTTAAGAAGAAAAAAAAGGACAACAGAATAACTAGAAGCCCAATCACTGAAAATTAACACATGGAGCTGCTTAATCTGAAAAGCAATCAAAAGAAAGCTGTGCATACACCCATATCCATGAAGGGAAGTAATGACTAACAAACACTGCCTTCTTTCAATTCTCTGTAAGCCAACTTTATTGTATAGAGTGGTTTTCAAGTCTTCAGTTTCAGCTACCAAGTATTTCCTATGCTGAAGAAAGATATCTTAAGCACGTTAAAACCTAAGTACTCGAAGTCAAAAATATCCTTTTTACTTTCAGAGCCAACATTCACATTTGTTAAGAACACAGAAAGGAGTAGACTAAACAGTTTTCATTACAGGTTTGCAGAACATACGTACGTTATCATTCTTCCTAAACTTTTTAAAACCATGTCTCACCTGTTGCTCACTGACAGATCACACTGGAATCCTGTTGGCTGATGGGAAAATTTCACCAGCGGGCAGCGAGCATTGAGTATCTTCTGTACGTTCACACATCCAGGACCAAAATTATCAAGGCAATCACCAATCACAGACAGAATTTTCTGAGTTGCTAATCTTTCAGATGGTAATCTTTTCATCTGATATTCCATTTCAAAGGGACCTTTTTTCTAACACAGAATTTTAAAAGTAAACTGTTAGCTCTGGAACCAAAGAGACATTTAAGAATACTTCTGAAAGACTACAACAGTTTGCAAAGGAGTTTGTACAATTAGAGACTGAAAGACAAGAATTAGTCAAAGCAGCCCGCAGAACTTGAAAAAGGTAAAAACATATTGCTTTCTCTTTTATATTCTTTTTCAGTGATTCAATTTTTCCAGGTTAATAATGATCAACTTACTGTAAGGTTACTTGTTCAGATGAGGGTATACTACTACTTCATCTCACTATTGCCTAAAACAAGTAATTCTGGAATTCCCGAGAGAGCATATATGCTCTGTCTGAAAAGAGGAACATACAATTAAATCAAAGAGGGGCAAAACACAACCAAACCGCCGTTAATTTCAAACCACCAGTAATTCCATTTCAAACCCTCAAAGAACAATGTGTTACTAGTGAATCAAGTAGCAGTGTAAAGGAAAATGTCTTTTTCATTAAAAAAAAAAAAAAATCAGCATGCAAATTACTTAATCCTTCAAAATCAAGATAAGCTTCTGTATGACTTAAAATAATCACATCAGATACAGTTTTTCTAACAAATGAAAAAAAACATGGAGATGTATTCTCACAACATCAGACATGTATTTTCCTGTAGGTCTTTGTATTTTGAATTGTCATATTTGTAGTTTATACCTCAATAAAATAACTTCGTACCTATGAAATCTCCATTTGCTTTATAGCCTCTCTATGTTAAGCCTCAGCTAATTTTGCTTGCTAATCCAATACTTGACACTGACTTAGCCTCCCCCTTGGAACATGTCATGGGTGAATGCATAGTACACAAACAGCATTACACAGTGACCTAACTAGCCCTCTGACACACAGAGGAGGTTACTTTTGTTGTCACCGGGTTAGTGCGAAGAAAACATGCACTCACAGACAGGTGAAACAATTCAGAAGTTATGGACCTTGCAACCTTTCTCATAAACTCAATTTAGGTGCTGAATTTCTGAGTTGCTCTGGCAATCACTGAGGTGACTGTTCCTGCTCTCCTCTTGCCCACAGTTCTCCAACCAGCACATGTGTTTGAACACACCAGAACAGAGGTCCCTAATCCTGTTTGGCTGCATAGCTGCATGCTACAGCAGGGCTCGCTCAAAGCGAAAGGAGCCTATGACCATCAACACTGAGGTAGATAACAGGAAGGAAAAAGATGGGGACTCGGTCGCCATGTAGGTGTGCTGGTGTTTGGACCTTTATGTTTGTGACAAAAATCACAATGTGCCTTCCCAAACAGCAGCTCAGTATCTCTCAGAAGCTGGATGAAGACTTTTTTGGTAATGATAAAACAGACACTCCTAATAATTGATAGGACCTTCATATATAGCTTTGGTGCCAGCTGGGAGGGATGAAGTACTGATACACTTGCCCCAGTCCTGTGGTTCTCCCCCTATTCTTGCCATGTTGCTCAAAACAGCAAATGTAAATGAAGTAAACTATTACTTTGGGTTAAATTGATGAAAATCTTACCCTCAGCAAGAAGCGTAACTGTTTTAATGCAAAAACTGTTACTCTAAAAATATCACAGAACAATCTCCCAAACTGCCCACATGTTAAAAACACTGTATCTGTGGCCAAACACTGTATTGATAATCCACTCGGTAAAGGATGCTCCCACTTCTGCTGCTTTTTTAATTCACAATCAGTAATCAGTTTGCCGTAAGACTCAAAAAATATTATTTAATGTAAATAGGTGCTGAAATGCCTAGTCCTCCTCCATTGCTGGTACCTCCTGAAAGGCTACAGTAGTGCAGAAATCAGAAGATACCCTTTCCACTGCTGCTATATCATCTTATAACTAAAGCTACCTCCCCTTGGCTTCACTTGTTGTAAGACAGTCAACTTATGTATACTAGTAACACAGTTTGCCAGGGAGAAAGAGTATCGTTATCCCTATAAATCACACCGCCAACTATGAGACTTTTGCCTTCCTCTGAAGTATTGTCTGTTGCCTATTACAGGAGGTATACCCAACATCTTATTTTCCTACTGTATTGGGTTTATGTGGCAAGGTTTTGGTAGGGGGAGGGCTGCAGGGGTGGCTTCTGTGAGAAGACATCAGAAGCTGCTCCTCATGTTGGACAGAGCCAGTTCCAGCTGGCTCCAAGACAGACCTGCTGCTGGCCAAAGCTGAGCCCATCAGCGATGCTGGTGGGACCTCTGCAACAACATATTTAAGAAAGGGTAAAAAATGCTGCGCAGCAGCTGGGAGAGAGGAGCGAGAAAAATGTGAGAGAAACAACCCTCCAGATACCAAGGTCAGTGAAGAAGGAGTGGGAGGAGGTGCTCCAGGCACCGGAGCAGAGATTCCCTAGAAGACCATGGTGGTGCAGATTATCCTCCTGCAGCCCATGGAGGTTAAAAGTGGAGCAGATATCCACCCTGCAGCCCGTGGAGGACCCCACGCCAGAGCAGGTGCGTATACCCTGAAGACAGCTGCAGCCTGTGGAGGGCCCATGCTGGAGCAGGCTTCTGGCAGGAGCTGCAGGCCATGGAGAGGAGCCCATGGGGGAGCAGGTTTTCTGGCAGGACGTGTGACCCTGTGGGGAACCCACGCTGGAGCAGTCCATTCCTGAAGGATTGTACCCCGTGGGAAGGACCCATGCTGGAGCAGTTCTTGAACAGCTGCAGCCTATGGGAGGGACCCCATGCAGGGGAACAGCATGAGGAGGAAGGAGCAGCAGAGACAAAGCGTTATGAATTGACTGCAACCCCCATTCCTCATCACCCCACGCCGCTTGGGGCGAGGAGGTAGAAGTGTTGGGAGTGAGGTGGGGTGGTTTTAATTTTGTTTTTTTTTATTTCTCACTATCCCACTCTTGTTATTAACTGGCAATAAATTGAGTGTTTTGCTCATGATGGTAACTGGTAAGTGATCTCCCTGTCCTTATCTCAACCCACGAGCTTTTTCATCTTATTTTCTCCCCCCATCCTGCTGAGGAGGGGGGAGTGAGAGAGCAACTGGGTGGGCAGCTGGAGGTCAGCCAAGGTTAACCCACCACACCTATAAAGTACAAAGCTCTCTAGGTGCTGGCACCTTAGTCTCCCATTTTGGCTATGCTAAAATCAAGACACAAGAGTTGCGCTAATGATTTTTACACTCCTTTACAGGACAATGCTCTAACATACTTTATTTTTGTACATACTTTCACATTGATGCAGCAGATATGCCACATTTTAGTGCTTCAAAATTTCAACAAAACCAACAAGATCATCACCTTTAGTGCATAAAGACTGTGCCTGCACACAAGACAAAAGCCTCACTGCACCACACAGAGTGTAAGTGACGAGTGGTGTCCCTCAGGGGTCTGTACTGGAACTGGTACTGTTTAATATCTTCATCAATGACATAGACAGTGGGATCGAGTGCACCCTCAGCAAGTTTGCAGATGACACCAAGCTGAAGGTGCGGTTGACACGCCAGAGGGACAGGATGCCATCCAGAGGGACCTGGAGAAGCTCGAGAAGTGGGCCTGTGTGAACCTCACGAGGTTCAACAAGGCCAAGTGCAGGGTCCTGCACCTGGGTCGGGGCAACCCCCAGTATCAATACAGGCTGGGGGATGAAGGGATTGAGAGCAGCCCTGCCAAGAAGGACTTGGGGTACTGGTGGATGAAAAGCTGGACATGAGCCAGCAATGTGTGCTCGCAGCCCAGAAGGCCAATTGTATCCTGGGCTGCATGAAAAGCAGCATGGCCAGCAGGTCGAGGGAGGTGATTCTGCCCCTCTGCTCTGCTCTGCTGAGACCCCACCTGGAGTACTGTGTCCAGCTCTGGAGCCCTCAGCATAAGGAAGACACGGACCTCTTGGAGTGGGTCCAGAGGAGGGCCACGAAAATGATCAGGGGGATGGAACACCTCTCCTATGAAGAAAGGCTGAGAGAGTTGGGGTTGTTCAGCCTGGAGAGGAGAAGGCTTCATGGAGAACTTATTGCGGCCTTTCAATACTTAAAGGGGACTTATAAAGATGGGGACAAACTTTTGAGTAGGGCCTGTAGCAATAGGACAAGGGGTAATTGTTTTAAACTAAAAGAAGGTAGATTTAGACTAGATATAAGGAAGAATTTTTTTCATAATGAGGGTGGTGAAGCACTGGAACAGGTTGCCCAGAGAGGTGGCGGATGCCCCATCCCTGGAAACATTCAAGGTCAGGCTGGACGGGGCTCTGAGCAACCTGATCTAGTTGAAGATGTCCCTGCTCATCGCAGGGGGTTGGACTAGATGACCTTTAGAGGTCCCTTCCATCCCAAACTATGATTCTATAAGTGTGCCACGCAGCCTATTAACCTGTCATGTAACTTAAAGACAAGAACAACTCTAAAGTTCACAGTAGAACTTCTATTTCTACAGAGGATGAACACTAAAGAAAACAGCTAGTCACAAAACATGCTTTGAAAATAGACGTTTTATAGTTGAAAGGTTTTTCCCTCAAAATTTAAAAGGCAGCTTTACAGTTTAAATGTAAAGGGTTCCTAGATTTTAACACTTCCCACACACGCACGATGATCCTACTTTTCAGCTGACATATTTGCGTTCATTGTGTTTGATCACTGCAATAATACTAAAAACTATATAAGTTTGAAGGGATATTTCTTTAAAAATAAAGTACATGGCAACATGCAAATTGTACAGAAAAGCTGAGTGAATTTTCAATCTTCAAAAGCTTAAGCCCATTGTCTTTTCCTTAAAAAAACCAAAAAAAAACAAAGCTAGTTTTTCCCAAACTATCTGTCACCATACAAATAAAAAGAAAAGTTTTCAAAACACCAGAATCACTTACTTTATTACCCATTCAGAATCCATGAAGAATACCAACTTCTCCACAGGGCATTTCTGATCCAACTTTCCCTTCTTCCTATCCTGATTCTCATCTCTCTCTTTCATATTTCATTCTCCAATCCGAAAGGACATTTACACTGTCCACAGCCAAAAAACAGCAGCAAGAGGTAAGAGCCTTCCAAAAATGGCTTGTCTAGTCCTTTCCCATTCTTTGTGCCTACACACACAAGGACTGAGACACAATCTACTCTAAATAACCATTAGGATTTGAAGCTGCCCAAATCCCAACACTAAACGTGAACTTGGTTACATAGTCCAGATTTCTGAATCGTAGTATGGGTTAAGACATGATTAAGATGAAATTTAATATGTGCATTGAAAAAGGCAATACTGTTGACTGAATATTGCTTACTGAAGCCTTGTAACCCTCCAACTTCTCAAGGTATTGATGCAAATTCTGTACTTTGGTCAGCAAATTCAGGTGAGTGTATTTCAATTTCAAGCCTCTACACTTGCTTAGTAATCACTACTTGTCTTGGTGCTTACTGTTGTATTATCAATGAGGCATTCAAATAATTGTGAAGTATCTTATGGAAAATGTGACAATTGAAATATCTGCATTATTGATCTGGCTCGGTTCCTGTTTTGCTCCTGGGTCCTGGTCCCCAAAACATCTACAGTTCACATATACCAGCTTATCCTCAGGTTCCTTTCAGGAGTAAGCCAACTAATTCCCTTCACAATGAAAATCAAGTGCTGTTAACATGGTGATTTTCTCTGGACAGACACCACAAACATGAACAAGTGTGCCACCTGCAACTATTCACCGATACTATCCCAGGAGATCTTAAACTTTCACACCTCCACACACTCTTACGTATAGATGTATGCTCCCCAGTACATAACTGAGTAACTTTTCTGTAGCATGAAGTCAACTCTTTAAACTAAGTAAAAGAACCTGACAACCCTCCCAAAATGCACATGTACACACATGCACAAAATTATTATGCTTCAGAACATGGGGGACCCTAAAAATCAAAGCCAAGCTTTAAAAAGCATGGATGAAGCCCGGCAGCTCCAGAGAAGAAAACCCAACAGTAGGATGGGAAGATCTGACATTGCCGAATCAATTTTGGAGGATGAAGGGGTTTTTTCCACAGTGAAATTCACACTGACAGTACAAAGTCTACGTAAACACCAAGTCATTTTCTTCCTATTGCAAGGAAGATCTCTTTCATGTCACATCCAGCTTTTGAAAGTCTTCAAGTCCAAACATTCAAATAAACTTGTTCGCAGTCTATAGTATGAAGTCATGTAAAACCTTAGTATAGATAAACTGATTCCTGCATGTGAAACAGCAAATGAGCTGCTCTGTTGAAGAAATTCAAGAGACTGAAGATGCATAGCATAATCTTACCATTTTTGCAGCATGCTTTCGTGTATCACGGAAGTCCAGAAACATGTCCACATCACATCCCAATTTGCCAAAGGTGTTGACTGAAGAGCCAAATGGCTTTACCGTGCTGTCTGGAAAATACGCATGTGCGAAATCCCGAACCAAAGAACAGGCCAGAAATCGGAGCTTGATATTTTCTTCTGTAAGCTGATACTCATTCAGTAGAATGTACATCTGACTGCTTATCTAGTTAAGAAAATAAACACTGTAAAAATACAATGACCCATATTTCTATCTATTAACATATATTTTCATCTACTTAGTATCACTGCAATTAAAAGATTATTTTTTTTTTAAATCTCAAACAGGTTTATTTCATACCGAAGAAATTATTTTGACAATTAAAATGACTAATTTCATCTACTTGTTTCAGTGTAGGAGAACCATTCACACAAAATTCTAACAGGGATTACTTTTTTTTATTTTAATAGAAATAAATTGCTTTATAAGTTGCACGTGACCACTTGCAAATCTGAAACAGACGTGGTTCATTTTTAACTGAGAGAGATCTAGAAACCTATACTTACACTGTCTGCATGACAAAGCTTTTGAATTAGCTCTGTCACTGGAATGTGAGACTGAGGAGAGAGGTGAAGTGGTGTCTCTTCAGCAGCTTGACTCACTGTGTTTTTCAGCGTGAAAGTAAAAAGTCTAGATTTAAATGGAACAACATGATGCTCTGCAGCACTTGGGATTCCAATAGCATCCTGCAATGAGGCTATACTGTCCTTTTCAGAAAATTCTATTAAAGCATGGACACCCTAAAACATTAAGAATGGAAATAGACAGGGTTAGATGAATGCATACAAGCCTTGAACTGATTGTACTGATACTATTCGGATGTTCCTGGGAGTACTGAGACAGTTTAATACAACAGCCCTGAAGCTGAATGCTAGGTTCTGTACCTCAACATTCTTTAGACGCTTTTTCACAAGAGGTCAAAAATATTTAAGATATGCTATTCTTGGCAGCAAGCACTAAACATACAAGTTCTAAAATCTATTTATCTTCACAACTGTAACGCTCAAGAAGCACATAAAAAAGTTAGCTCTATTATTAGAACAATGAACAGTGCTATGTAAAAGTTTCCAAGATTTAGTGCAAAACAGGTTGCTACCTATCCCTTAGAGGAGCTGTCGCTTAGCTGACTTATGAATAAAAATCTGTTGCTCAACAACTTGTAAACATTAACAAAGATAAAAACTAATTTAATATATTAATTGTATATAATTTGCTTAAGTTACATGTATGAGGCCTTGACCAAATGCTAGTATTTCTTTTTGTCTAAGTCTATACTTTAGTTTACATTGTTAATTACTTACACGATTTTCAAAAAAGAAGTGACTGTTAATGTTTCCATGACTGGATAAATACTGCAATAATTTTTTTCCGTTAAGTTTTTGTGGGCACTTAATTAAAACAGCCCGTTCTGCTTGCTCCAATCGTTCTGTTTGAACCTCAGTGAATGTCTTCTTTCCGATATTGACTTCAGAATCTATAAGAAGAAACAAGCATCAACGTTTTTCTAGATGAACAAAAATATTTAAAACTCATTTTAGTACACTTAATCTCCTCCTCTGGGATTGAACCACTGAACAAAGGTTTGCCCTGGCTCTCTAAAAGGGCCACAGCAAAAGAGAAAACAATCAAGAATGAATGAGAGACACAAACATAAGTACATTTCTCTCACAAATGCATACATTCGTAAGAATAAGGAATAGGAAATGTAGGAAGAAAACAGTACTAACTTCCCTTGGTGCCACAGGAAGTTTGATGATTCAAGGAATCTTAGCTCTTCTTTGATTTGCTGTTCACCATCAAAAAACTCATCACACACAGTCAGACTCTACATACAAGTCTGGAAATACCAGCTAGGGTATGAGGCAGAGCTAGACCTTTGGCAAGCTGCACAGGAAAGATAATCTCTCTCAGCTACCACAAAACCAGCACTTTCACCTTCGGAACAATTCAACGCTTGCTTATTTTTACAACTCATCACCTTCTTTTACAGTAAACTCCTACTCAAAATGTTCATTTAATACTATACTTTCATCTACACTACTACAATAAACCCACAGATCAGTCATATCTCACCACACTACTGGCAATCTATATTGCTGCTGACAGCCTTCAGAATCAACATGGAAATGAAACATGCTGGAACATCCAGAAACACAGCAACTTTTTTCTTGATTGCTGTCCTGGTTTTGGCTGGGATAGAGTTAGTTTTCTTCCTAGTAGCTGGTACAGTGCTGTGTTTTGGATTTAGGATGAGAACAATGTTGATAACACACCAATGTTTCAGTTGTTGCTAGGTAGTGCTTGCACTAGTCAAGGGCTTTTCAGCTTCCCATGTTCTACCGACTGAGAAGGCTGGAGGTGCACAAGGAGCTGGGAGGGGGCACAGCCAGGACAGCTGACCCAAACTGGCCAGAGGGACATTCCATACCATGTGACGTCATGCTCAGTACATAAACTGGGGAAAGCTGGCCGGGGGGGCCGCTGCTCGGTGACTGGCTGGGCATCGGTTGGCAGGTGGTGAGCAGTTGCATCGTGCATCACTTTTTTTTTTTCTTATTAGGGTTTTATTCTATTTCAATTATTAAACTGCTTTTATCTCAACCCATGAGGTTTCTCACTTTTACTCTTACGATTCTCTCCCCCATCCCACGGGGAGGGGGGCAGTGAGCAAGCGGCTGTGTGGTGCTCAGTTGCCAGCTGAGGTTAAACTACGACCATTGCATACAGACAAAGGGGCCATGTCTCAAATTTGAAATCATAATCACTTCCCTGCATAACTCTCAAACGCATCCATCGACCACATCACATTACCAGAGCCTGTGAAGCTGCTACCTGATAATACTGCCATTCGTAATTCAGACTGGGGAGCTTGAGAACACGCAGTTATTTCCCTGCGGCTACTATCTGCTACAGAAAGATTCAACAGAGAGGTTTTTATTCTATGTTTTTGATTTTGAGGAACCCACGGGATATTGTGGCCTCAAGAAAATCTTAACTATCATCTAATGACACTTGCTAGTATTTATTATTATTTTAAAAAAATCTTTTATTTTAGAAGTTTATTGAGCTCTCACACAGGCTTGTAAATAATAAATACCCAAAGTAGTTGTTTCAATAGCTTAGTTTTATATAGCATTTTTTATCAGATGACCAAAGAAGCACTTTATGAAAATGATAAATATCCTATTTTCTGTGGGGGCAGAGAAGTGTGAAGTGACTGAGATGCAGAAAGGACAAGTCCCACGGACGAGTGACACAATCAGGAGATGAACCCAGATGATCTCATGCCCACAGCTCTCTGCATTAGGCCAGAGTGGCTATGTGATTCTTGCCTGATTTACTACCTGTACGTGCTTAGTTACTATAGCAGATGTGCTCTGACACCTCATCTTTGCTCTGCCGTCATCTGCACAGTCCGAGCATAGCACAGATGCAGACGATCACATCCGAATGGTGGTTGTAAGCAGCTTAAATGCACGAGGGGCAGTCCACTTTGCTTTCTCCCCCTGTTCCATACAACATATCCAGCTAGTGCCAGCGTTTCACAACCATTTTAAGCAGGTATACACCAGCACTGCTGCTGGAAGAAACAGCCCCATCCTCCACATGGTGCTCGTACATATTCTAATGCTGCCCTCTGCACGCTGATGCTAATGCAAGCATTCACGCAGTCATGCAGCAAACTAGATGAGACTAATGATAAAATTTATACACCAAAACAAGAATGATTAACTGAAATCTGGAATTGTTCCTTGATCCAATTTGCTGCATATATGTTAGTACAAGGATATGAACAGCAAAAGACTTGGTTTTGTGAAACTGCGATAACACAGCCTGATCGCCTCTGTTTAAAAAAAGGTTACTACCTAATATTTTTCAAGCTCTGAAACATGTAGAAGCAGAGGCCTCAGGCTCACAAATGCATTAGCTCCAAGTTACACCGTACGCCCAAGTTACAGCACATCAACAATGGACAGTCCTAACCAGATCTTGGCTTGTACTAAAGACATGGCATCAACCAAACGTTTCCTGTGTCTTTTTCAGGGGGTCTCTCAGGATAACCGCTGTCACTTCACTTACCTCTAGCCGACATCTGCATTTAACAAACCAAGTTCTAGACAACGACAGCGGATTCTGGGCTCCTAGACTGCACCCTGGCGCTACGGCCGGGAAAGCACAGGCCGACCTCGCTGCCGTCGGGATGCCCCCGGCGGGGGCTCCCGGGCCCCGAGGAGCACGTCACGCCC